TATGGCGAATGTTTTCCATCTCTCCTGATATTTAAAAGCGTTCATTTTCAATCTATATATGTGTTTTGACTAAACTATTAAAATTAATAATAACTTACGTAAATTAAACTTTTGTTTTAGTAGAAATGTTTATTTTTGTTTCTGATCATAAGTATTTGTTATCAATATTCTTAAAATTCGAATAGTTAGCATTCAGTTAATTTCTTTTATTATATTTATATTTAAAACTTGTAAACAATTATTTAATTATTTGATAAATTGTCGTAAAAAAATGAAGGGCGTTCATATCTGAAGCTTAACACTTAACACTTACAAGACTTGACTTCTTTTATAAAATAAAGTACGAACCCAAAGCTGCTAAACAGGAAATATGAAAACGAAACATATATATTTCATAAGAAAATTTGCAAAATTATATATTTTTTAAATATCATTATGAAATAAATACGCATCTATTCACGTATTAATTTAAGTTTCTTTTTTTTTTAAATTCTCGGTTAGTAAAAAATTTCATGGAGAACGTTTTTGAGCTTTTGTTTACTTTCATAGAACGGTTTAGAGTTTTTGTTCATTTTCATACCTACCTGTTTTTATAAACCTTGTAAAGGAAAAAAAGCAGGTAACGGTTTTATGTGGAAACGAAGACGTTTTAGAAGTGTTTGCTGAAAAATTTAAATCGACCGAAAAATTGAGAAATATTAAAAATATTGCAAATAGAAAGAGCTCTAAAATGAAGAAATATTAAGTTTAAGTTTAATTTATTTATTTAAAGGTATTAGAACAGGAATTATCTTTATACCCATAGCCGGAAGCTGCGAGATTTATTCATTCTATCAAAACATATGCATCACCCAGAAGGAGACTTCGGAGACGTCGAATCCTCTAATACGGACGGACGTTGAGTTCATCAAATTGCATTTACGTTGTTTATCGATTAATTACTCTCTCAAGTTACCAAATTCGAAGTTCAAATACATTGCAACAAATACTCTCTCAAGTTACCAAATTCGAATTTCAAATACATTGCAACAAGTTCGCTCGTTTAATTACTCTCTCAAGTTACCAAATTCGATTCAGTTTTTTTTTTCTCATATAAATTTCAATCAATCGCTATGATAATTAAAACAACCAGCATCCTTACTACATCTATATATGTATATATATATTTTTAGCTTTTAACAGAGTGATTTTCAGGCTAAACTATTCTCTATTCCCGTGAAACAAGCAACATTTGTGCCTTAAAAATTAGCTCTATTTTCTAAAGTTGTCCAAAGTTATTTGAAATAATTAAATTGATTGGGTGATGCTCGTAAGGAACCTGTGAATTACATACTGTTCTTATAAATGTTTAAAACTGCAAATTCAAAGGAAAATTTTCTGTTAATTGGCGTCGCGTTACTTAGTTAATTTTTGAGCCGAATTCTGAATAGATGAGCCTGGGACATATTTATGTTAAATTTCATGTAAAAATAGGGAGAGGATTGCAGAAATCTTCAAGTGGTTATCAAGTCAGAAGAGACGATTCTATAGATCTTTTTATATTTTTAACGGAGATCACTATTGGATTTTTAACATTATATTCTCCCGTTGACAGAAACGAAGCTATCAAGTTCAAGTGGCGAAACGGTTAAAGGACACTCGAACAATGCGAACAAAACTGAAAATATTTTTTATTTCCGTGATTTTTGCTAATTAGTCATTAACTAAACAAATACACGATATATATTTCCATTTTAACAAAAAAGGATAAAACGGACAGACGCGCAGGCAAGCTCAGAATCTATATGGTATGGTATGGTGTAAAAAAAAGTGTTACGGTGTAAAAAAAAAGACTTAATACAATGTAAAAGTTAAATATAAGTAATTGTATTTCCACAAAGGTGATGGTTGGTACAGTTGGCGATGTATTCTTTCACAAAATTCTATGAAAAAAGCAAATAAATAAAATAGCACCATAAAATGAGATTTGTTAAGTATCCTTGTGGAATAATATGCTTAATAATCACATACATTATGGTGATCTATGCATACTATGTAGTTATGAGATGGATTATATTACAAACAATGCAAGCTAAGTAAATATTTAAAGATAATTAAAATGACATGAACACGCACGAGAAATTTTGTATTTTTAGTATATGGGCTCCCTTGCATGTGGTTTCCTTTAATACGGTAGTCTTCCTATTGGCAATGTCTCACCTGAAAGCGGAACTGTCCGATCCCGGTTGTGTACCCTTACCAGCAAATCGTTTGGATTTTTCAGACATGCATACTGTAGGGAAAAGTACTGGTAATGGAAATAGTAGTAACGAATGGACAGTGTGCACACGTTGTGAAACTTATAGACCGCCTAGAGCACATCATTGTCGGATTTGTAAGCGTTGCATACGACGAATGGATCACCATTGTCCTTGGATAAATAACTGTGTAGGAGAACGTAATCAAAAGTATTTTCTACAATTCCTTGTCTACGTAGGTGTCCAGGCTATATATTCTGCGTGCTTAGTATTGGGCTCCTTAATTAATCCATGTGAAGGATGTAATTCGGAAAATATTGAGGGACAGACTAGATTGTGAGAATTTTGTGATAATTTCGCAAACGAAGAAAATTGATCGGCTTTTTTTTCAGACTTCATTGCGTCATTTTGCTAATAGAATCAGCTTTATTTGGCTTATTTGTTTTGGCAATAATGGTTGATCAAATGCATGCCATATTGTATGATGAAACAGCAATTGAACAAGCTCAACAGAAGGGCTCCCATCGACCCAATCGCCGTAAATTTTACCTTTTAGCTGACGTCTTCGGCCGGGGACACCCAGCTTGCTGGTTGCTCCCTTGCACTAGTTTTAATTCATCATCTTCCGCTCTACGTTATTATGACACGCCATTGCTTAGTCATGAAGTTTGAACAAGTGCGGTGGACTGTAAAAATACAATTAATCATACTACAAGCCCTTCCAAACCCAAATCAACAACAGTATCTAGATTTTAGAGTTATCATTTTTATAAATACTTAGTTTTGTAAATTTTTATGTAAATGTGTTGCTTTACGTTAAGCTATTTTT